TTATTTGTTAGAGCACACACACACACACACACACACACACACACACACACACACACACACAAAATCACTACAATCTAGGCTGGATTCGAACTCAAGGAGGTGCTCCAGGTTCAGCCTCCTGAGCGTTCAGAAAGCAGGCATGGGTCACCACAGCCAGCTCATGAGTGCTATTGATGGTTTCTAGAATAGCAGATCCCAGTGTGTTTCATTTTATTTTGCTCAGATCCTCAGGAAAAAGTTCTGTGGAAGCAATCACTGTCTATGCCACAAGAACTTTACGTATTTCCTAAATACAACTCGAAAATTAAATGACTGATTTACCCATGGACTGAAAACAAGATATCTTTTTCAAAGACATGAAAATGACATTAGTCTTGTAGGTCTCCATTGGAGCACTTGGGTAACCACAGGAATTATCAACGAGAAATATTATTTCAAAAGAGTCTCTTTTCTTCTGATCAGTAGTTCTGAAAAGTACTTAAAATACAGAGTAGACCGTATTGTAACCAGAGGTACAACTATCCAAGCTGTGTTATTCCAATTACAGAGCACAGAGATTTAAGAAAATGGTGAAGGGCCCTAGGAAGTTTTGAGTGGGAAATAAACATTGCTTTCTTCTTTAGTCCTTAGCCCTCCCCCCCAGAGGAGTGCCATCCTGTCCTTTGAAGTTTTAGGCTAGGCATTGCCTTCTGTCTACACATCGAAGTTCTAGATAGCATCCTTTCTGTTGGGAGCTCTTGGGTTTAGCCACTTAATTGCTGTGACTTTTCTCAGCTCAAGGTTCTTTTGTAAGTAGTGCTATGAGGACTCAGTGCCGTTCTCCCCAGAGAGCGATGCGTAACTAGACCAAGCAAGAGAATTGTCTTTATAATGATTCGTTATTAGTTATTCTATATCCAATGCATTAAGGGGGTTCACACTCTTAGTTTGCATGGGAGGACCGTGATAGGCAACACACAAACAATTCAATATCACAATTGTTAATCCTGCTAATACTAATACATAAGACCAATTCCTCACCTCCATTTGACTTATCAATTATCCATAAAGCACTCCTTAACCTTAATACAACTTATCAATTAACATTTCCTAATCTTACCAATTATCCATAAAATATCTCTTAACATTTCACACACTAAACACACGCATTAATACATCTGTGCTCTTCTAATTATCATTTGCGACACGCACTCCTTGTCCAGCAAGAAGGAACGATCACAAAATCAAGAATCCTTCTCAATCACAATTTATTGGAGCCACTTGATTAAAAAGGGGAATGGGGAAAAGGGATGACGAGAGAGAGAGAGAGAGAGAGAGAGAGAGGAAAAACCCAAAGGCAGCCGCTTTTCTAGGGTGAGAGGCTCGAATGCTGATTGGTTGATGCCATTCTGCTAGGGCCCAAGGCCACAGGACCAAGGCTCTGAAATGCAAAACAAGGCCCCAAGCACTCTGGCCTGCGCTGCAGCATCAAAGGATTTGTATACCTCCAGGCTGTAGGACCGCTGGCACTATCTCGCCAAGGCGACATCTTGGCGGCTCCTAACAACTAAACACACGCATTAATACATATGTGTTCTTCTAATTATCATTAATGAATTAATCTCAGATTTATGAAGTTCCATACTTGAGTGTAAATAGCATCACACAACCTGACATCCTCTGTCCTAGGCTATCAGTATCAACTGGACACAGAACGGTGGGGTCCTTCTCGTGTGGCAAGATTACTTTTGTTACCAAGGTTACTGGATGCAGCCTTCCCATATGGCATAGCCAGATGGGTGTGGCAGCCTCTAAGTGGGCAAAAATGTTCTCTTAATATTTCTCCTTAATAATTTTCTACTTCACAAAGTTTTCTTACTTAATTTTCTATTGTCTATATTATACTTATCCTTATACTGTAGATTTCCTATTCTACCTACACTATAGATTCCCCTTTTTTTTACTCATTCAGAGGGATCTGTTTCCATGCTCATTACACTTTCCCAATAAAAGTTTGCTTCATCTGCGTTGAGAATCACTTCGTTGTTTGTTTAAGACAGGGTCTCACATAGACTGCTTTAGACACTACCTCTCTATGTAAGCAAAAGTGACCTTGAACTTATGTCTCAGCCCCTCAGTGCAGGAATATCAGCATGCACTACCGGGCCTGGTTTATTCAGCTCTGTGAATTGAACCCAGCTTCTCTTTTTATTTATTTATTTATTTATTTATCTATTTATTTATTTATTATGTATACAATATTCTATCTGTGTGTATGCCTGAAGGCCAGAAGAGGGCACCAGACCTTATTACAGATGGTTGTGAGCCATTATGTGGTTGCTGGGAATTGAACTCAGGACCTTTGGAAGAGCAAGCAGTGCTCTTAACCGCTGAACCATCTCTCCAGCCCCTGAACCCAACTTCTTACGTAGTAGACAAGGCTCTAGTAACTGAGCTACATCCCAGCCTGATAATTTGTTTACTATAACCACTCTCATCAAGACTCTTAACCTTTTCTAGACAACTTGCTTCATTTTCAACATCAGGCTTTTGCTTCCCTGGAAATTCTTTCTAGGAACACAGGATACTTTTAAACAATATTTATTTTAATTTTACATGTGTGAATGCTTTGCTTGCATATATGCTTGTACACCACAGTCATGCAGTGCCTGTGGAGACCAGAAGAGGGCCTATCAACCTCTGGAAATGGAACTTCGAACAGTTGTGAGCCACTGTCTGTGCTGGAAACAGAACCCAGGTCCTCTGTAATGGCACAAGTGCCCTTAATCCCCGAGACTCCAGTTTATTTCCTTAATCCTCATGAACCAACCTTTGAGCTTCGGAGTTCTTGTCTGTTGCTTCCTTACCTGTCTTGGTTCTCATAGACCTGAAGGAGGGCCTTGCTCAGGATGAGATGTTGACTTGGTGCTGGGTTCAGGGTGTTTGCAGGAAGTGAGCTGCCAAGTAACACTTTCAGTTTCCTATAAAAGCTTCCCCTTCTCATTTACAACTTGGCTAGCCTGTGTAAAAGCTCTACCTTTCAACCAATCTTGTCCTCATTGGTTAATTCATGTGTTTAGTTCTACTGGGGATTGGATTCAGGGCTTTCACAGAAGCTGGGAAAATGTTCTATTACTGAGCTAGAAGACCCAGCCCATTTTGGCTTTTGACACATCTTTCTTACTTAATCATTACAGCCTTCTGTCTCTTGGACAGTTAGAGGCCATTGTAGTTTTTTAATTGGTTTGACTTTAATATCATTGTGTATCTAGGAATCCATAGGCCAATTAGTAGGGGACAGTATGAGTGCACGTACCACATACCAATTTAGTTCATTATCTTCTACGGGTACAGTCGGAGATTACCTCCAAGCAATTATAATAGTAACATCACAGACCATTAGTCACAGGTCATCATAACAGATATGTAATAAAGAGAAAAACTTAAGTATCATGATAATTATGAAATGTGGCATGACTATAGCAGATGCTGGGGAAAATGGGACCAATAGTTTCCTAGCTACAGGGCTGCCACACATCTTCAGTTTTTAAAAGCAGGGCTAAAAGGATGGTTTAGTGGTTAACAGCACACACTGCTCTTGCTAGGGACCAGAGGTTAGTTTCAGCTCTCACGGCACCAGCTCACAATTACCTGTAACTGGTTTCAGGGGATTTGACATCTTTGACTAACTCACAGACAGACACATACACTTATATAACTAAAATGAATGCTTTGAAAATACGGTTGCTCCATAGGGCCACAAAGAACTGCACAATAACATGCGGGAGGACTCCAAATCACGTAGTGCTTGGGTGTTGTAGATGTTTAATAAAGTATAGATGTGGGAGGGGGAGGGAAATGGGAAGAGGTGGAAATTTTTAATAAAAAATAAAAAATTAAAAAAAAATAAAGTATAGATGTTAGTACTTCTAACATAATGGGCAACAGCTTTAAACAATGACAAATTTGAATAAGAAGACTGGGTGTGGTTGCTAATGCCTATAATACCAGCATCTAAGAGGCTGAACAGAAGGACTGCCACATGTGAGACCCTGTTTCCCCATCCCAACTCCCCTGGAAACATGAGTATAAAATCATTTGTTATTGAATTTTACAAATAGGAAAGAATTTAAAAAAAATTCAGGAATAATATGTGTTGAGTAGTGTATGGGAGATGAAGTAATGAAGAAAAACGACTAGTTATTCCAGAATGTTCATAGTGACTGCGAGGCGACTCATTCAACAGTTAAGAAGGTAAGCTGTTTTTTGCTTGTTTGTTTGTTTTATTTAAGATTGAGGACACTTGAGTATTTTATATCTGAATGAGAGAGAATGGACGAAGAAGGCAGGAAATAACAAAGAAGGAAAACTCCATGGGGTCAGAGGCCCTCTTCTGGCATGCGTGGGCACCCCCCCCACACACACACATACAAATAAATTCTTTTAAAAAATGTTCTACTGCATTACCTTCGAGAGGTGGGGGTGGGGGAAAGAAAGGAAAAAAGGGAAGACAATGAGGCTATAAATGAGTTAATATATTAAGAAAACGGAGGGAGAAAAATCGCACAGCCTGTGGATCTCGGACTGATGTAAAGAGAAGGGAAACGAAAAGCTTGGTGCGCGGTTGTATTCCTGAACGCCTCTGACAGCCAGAGTGTTGGCAGTCTTCCACCTTGGGGCAGGATTTCAAAGAAAAGCTGGGGGAACTCCCTAATCTTTACCCTTTGAAGCTGAGGCGTGTGTCAAAACCTAGCCATTGGGCCACAACCGCCTCAACAGCTGCCCAGACCCAGGGCAAGTGCGAATTGGGAGAACCCAAACAATCACAACGCCCGCCCCCTTTCCCTACCAATCACAACCTCTCAGTGTCTTGATTGACTGAGATCGCGCAAACGCTCTGGATCAAACGTTTCCTGTAACCTTGACTGACTCTTTAAAGAATCTGTCTGAGGCCGGTGATTGGCTGGGGAGTCTGGGTCCTGGCCAATCCCAAAGGGGGCGGGCTAGTTGAGCGTCGGATTTCCAGCTGCTGTCCTTAGACACCGGTCCGCTGGTGGCGGGCTTCTCTTCACTCCTCGTGGACCCTGGCTCAGTGTCTAATGGAGCTTTCTTATCAGACTCTCAAACTCACGCACCAAGCGCGGGAAGCGGTAAGGAAAGCTTTCCCAAACAAGCAAGACCTAGGATCATGCCAGAAACTCTTGTTGCAACAGGCAGATTCGCGAGTCTCCGGTTGCTATGGTGACAGAGGCGGCTGCCCAAGTGGCGCAAGCGCAGTGGCTCTAGTTTCCCCTGTTGAAGGAGGCTGGGTTTGAAGTGGTGATCCCTGCAGGATAAATCTGGGATCGAACCGTTGAGGGTTTGGGGATGAAAGTCGGTTTGTTATTACGGAAACTGAGTTTTAAGGGTCAGGTTAGGCTGCTTGTGGATGTGAGTTTGGACCTGCGCAAAAAGAGACTGACAGGTTGGGCGTGGAGATGCAAGCTTTTAACGTTAGCGCCCTGGAGGCAGAAACAGGCTAGTAGTTCTTAACTGCACTTCTTAACTAGTGCAGTTCAGCCAGAGAGGATACATAGTGAGACCTCGTCTCAAAAACAAAACAGAAAAACAATAACAACAACACAATGACATTGTTGAAAGCGCCTCCTCCACCAAAAGGAAAACAGACACACATACACACACTCACACACACACACACACACACACACACACTGACCTGAAGGTAGAATTCTAGGTTTGGATGCTCAGCTTTACCAAGGCTAGAGCTCATAGGCACTAATTCGCTCTCCCAACCCCCTTCAGGGTCTCCTTGTGAAGTAGGAGAATTGGCTGTGATTCTATTCACACGAGGGTTTTGTGAACTTACAATACTTCCCATGGTTTCCTGTGGTCTGGGTCGTCTGCTACCACCAGCAATATTTCCACAACAATGAACATGAATTGAAAGCTTACCATAAATGCAGGCACCGGCCGTGAAAACAATAGTGCGTACTGGGGGGCGGTGCGGGGGTGGGCGGTGCTGCGGGTGCCGGGGCAAGATGAATAAAATTAAAGCTAAGAAAATAGGGACATCTGGCGCCTGCTGGGGGGGGAGTCAGGATGGGTCCTTTTTATTGATAGCTTTTAAAGCTCCACAGGTGACCACTCCATTATGTAGCTCAGGCTATGAATCATTGCTCTAGAGTCTTTTTACCTTAAAAAAGATATTTGTTATTTTTGTATATGAATATTTTATCTGTGTATGTCAGTGCATCACCTGTGTTCGGTGCCTGCAGAGGCCGGAGAGTGCGCTGGAGCCCCAGAGAGTGGAGTTACAGACGGTTTTAGCTGACATGTACGTGCTGGAAATTGAACCCAGATCCTCTGGAAGAAGAGCCAGTGTTGCTCTTCTTCAAATTATTATAGTTATTATTTTTTACCCGGTTTCCCCTCCCTTCTCTATTCCCAGCCCCTCCCTCCCACTTTCCCTCTGCCCCCTCCCCTATCCACTCCTCCTGCATTTCAACTGAGAAAAGGGCAGGCCTCCTATACATACCAGCCAAATATGGCATATAAGCCTAGACACACACACACCTTTCTATTAAAACTGGGCAAGGCAACTCAGTATGAGGAATAGGGTCCCAAGAGCCAGCAAAAGAGTCAGATACAATCCTTTTTCCCACTACTAGGAATCCCAGTAGAAGACCACACTATACCACTGTCACATATATGCAGAGGGCCTACACAGTCCCATGCAGACTCCATGGTTGTTGATTTAGTCTCTGTGAATCCCTGTGAGTCCAGGTTAGTTGATTCTGTGTTTTTTTTGTTTGTTTGTTTGTTTTTGCTTTTTTTGTTTTGTTTTGTGGCATCTTGACTCCTCAGGGAGTCAAGAGTTCTTAACCACTGAACCATCTCTCCAGCTTTTCTACCTTTGAAGTGCCGATAATACCACACACACACAACACACATCCTTTTGTTAGTCAAGTTCTATAAGGAGTCAACTGCCCTTGGAACTTCCTCACCCAGGAAGTTTAAACCCACTCCACACTGAGCCTGAACTACCAGCGTCAGAATCAGAAGCACCACATGATGATAAAGCTGATTCTAGGGCTTCAACGGGACTTGCCGAAACAAACCGAGATGGGGCTTGTGAAACTGGCGTCATACACACGTGCCAAACTGCTCCTAAAGCACTCTGCTCAGTGGACTCGTGTCTTAGAAAGACGCTGCTCAGAGAAGAAGGATGCTGAGGACTTGATACAGCCAGTGGGGTAGGCTAGGTGTCTTCATTTGTTCAATAGCTGACCTACAACCTCCCTTATCAACACCTCTACCTTTTCCATCTTCCTGACTCTGAGATCGTGCGACAATATACACCCAGTTATCCCAATCAAAATCCCAGTCATCCACAGTTTCACTTATAGAGGGGAAAACATTACCAAATATTCTTTATTCTACCTCTGTAACGTATCTTTAATAGTTCCTGTCACCACCCACGTTCTGATGCCCAGGGAGCCCTCGCGACTGCCCCATTACGCTAGCCTTGCACTTTTCTCTGTTGGGTTTGCTCCCTCCAGTCTTCCCTCAGTGTTACTCCGCTGCTGGGATCCTTTTAATGACTTTCCATTACACTTGGAAAAGCAAACCCAAACTTTAACAGGACATACGGAGCACGACAGTGAGACAGAGAACCGTCTGTTCAGGGTTCATCCTCACTGCCTTCTGCTACGTCTCCCATAGCAGCAGATGCGTTCTTTCTGATCAGAAATATTTCCAAACTGCACAGTTTGCGCATTGTGGTTAATGCATTACCTGTTGAGAGTATGTAACATACTCTCAAAAACGAATTTTCTGAAGCTTAAAGACAAAGATCCGAGTCTTTTTTGTTTATTTCGTCGTTTTGTTTTAGGCCCTAGATGGCGCTAAAGCAGTGTTTAGATGAGCTCAGGGTTGAACATGGCAAGATTGTTCTGCTTAGGAGTTCCAAGGAGGGGGAAAGGTAAAGCTGGAGGAGGTGCGGGGGGAGGGGGGTGGTAGGGAGAGGCGGAATCCGTTATAAAGAGAACTGACTGTCCACCGGAATTTCGGTCCCCTAATTCAGATACTGTATTAGGATTTCCAGAATGTTTTCTTTAAGATAAGTATCTTGTGTGGTCCAGGATGTTCTCAGATTTGCCATATGTTATTTAAACAAAGGAATCCATGCCCTTAGTTCTGAAAAATAATGTAGCATAGTTTAAGATACTTTTCTCTTCTCGCTCCTCCCCTTTCTCTCCCCTCCTTTAGGAAGAATTTATAATGAAAAAATAATCTAGAGATGACTCTAGGTCTAGGGGGGAATGTGTATGGGTTATGTGCAAGCACTGTTACATTTTACATAAGACATTGGAGATGCACAGATTCTGCCATCTGAAGGGGATCGTGGAGCCAGTTCACCCTCCATCCCAAAGTGTGTGTGTGTGTCTGTGTGTGCAGGCATATTTGTATCTTACAAGTTTTGGTCCTTTGGAGGACCCTGATAAATACAGGTTTGTATCACAAGAGTCTGTGAAATACTGATGCCATTGGTGTCTTTGGGTGGCAGATTTTCTCTTACAGTATTTTAAATTTAGTGCTTCATTAAAATTAGACTATATGCAGGGGTTAGGAATATAGCTCAGTTGATAGAGTGTCTTCGTAGCATGCATCTCCAACACAACATGGACTGAGTATGATGGTGAATGCTTGTAATCTTAGATAGGTGTTCAGGGTCATCTTTAGCTACACAGTGAGTTTGATGTCAGCCTGAGATACCTGAATGGGACCTTGTCTCAAAAAAGAAGAAAGAAACTAAAATAAGATTGCATACAATTTGTGTACCTCTGCCAGTTTTTTTTTTAAAATTTCTTTCCAAATTGAATATAAGAACCTTTAAAAAGCTCTGAGACCAGGCAGGTTGTAATGAGCAATAGCATAGGTGTTTTAAATGTGAACACATGATTAGAAACAAATAATGACCGGACCAATGTCCAGGAATGGTTTTTGGAAAACCTTGTGTACACACACTCATGTGTACACTCAAGATAACTGGGACACGAACCCAGTCTTCCTTTTTCTCACCCAATCTCAGCTGATTGGAAGAGGCCCTTCTCCTAGGGTTAGCTCTTCTTTCTCATGTACTTTTTAAGAGGTTTCTGCTTTGCCTAGGGTGAGCCTTTTGTATTAAAAATTATTTAATATATGTTTAGCTAATTGATTAAGCAGTTGACTAACTTTTAAAATGAGTGTTAAATGCCTTAACTTTTATTAATTGCATGGATCCCTAAAAAAACAAGTAATTGAAAATCTAATTACTTCAGTGTTTTCCTTCAAAGAACTGAGGCTTATTAAACTTTAAATGTTAAAACATTTAAGCATCTATTGAAATACCAATAACTATAAACAATGTTCAGTTCTAAATACTAATTAAACAAGTTCTAAATCACCATAAAGCTAGGCTGAATTGTAAGTAACTCATGCTTTATGCTCTGCTCTGTCCTTACACAAGGAAAATTAACTACTTCAACGCTGACCACTGCTGCAGCATTGTGGACATGTTCCAAACTCCGTGGCTTTAAAAGCTACGCGCTGGGATGCACAGCTGTAATCCCAGCACCCTGGAGGCAGAGGCAGGAGGGCTGCTGAGAGTTCAAGGGTAGCCTAGGCTACGTATAGTAAGTTCCAGGCCAGCATGGCCTATTTATAGCTAGACCATGTTTTTAAACAAAACAAAACAAAATAAAAACCCAGAACATAAATAAATAAAGTGCTGTTATTAAACCACATTCTACTTGTAAACCTGGACTGAGAAAGGGAGACTTATCAGAGAAGCCGGAACACTTTGCCAACATCATGCTGTACTCATGGAGATGTATTACCATCACTGCGAATATCCAGGTTTTGTATTAAAAACATCCTTACTGGCTTTCTTTTGCACAAATAACTTAGTTTTTTGGGGGGGAAGGGAAAGTTGAGATAGAATTTTTACAATCAAACTCACTCTGTAGATCTTGCTATTCTCTAACTTTGAATGATCCTCCTTCCTCTGCCTCCCACGTACTGGGATTACTGCCATGAGCCACAGTGTGTGATCAGGTTTTACTTCTAACCACCAAGAAATAAAAATCTCATCACCCAGATATATCCTTTT